GAGCGCGCCCCGGGGCTCGCCGCAGCCGAGGAAGCTCGGCGAAGAAGGGCGGTGAGGGCGCTGGAAGCCACCCGAGGGTGTCCTAGCAGCGGGTCGGCGGCTAGAGGGAGGGCGCAGGGGCGGAGGAGCTCGCCCTGGCAGCGCCATTGGCCCTGGTAGCGAAGCGCCTCCTTTGGGGCATTCGTCGCCTCATCGCCCGTTACATTTGCGCTTTCTGAAGGAATCTTTAAAACACGTCTCCCACCCTCCCCCACCCCCCTCGCCTCCCGTCATGCGCTTGAGTGGATTTGCAAACTGGCTTGTTTGCCCCTTGCCGGAGAACCGCGCCCGGCGCGGCATTCGAGAACGGGATTCCTTCCCAAGGAAGGGTGCCCAGTCCTGGCTGAAGCAAAAATAGACCACTACAACTGCGAGCCTCTCGCCAGCGCCCGGAGGGTCCGGAGAAGGCTGTTGCTCCTGGACGCCCTGGAACAGGGAGCGTGTGTGTGGCGGAGATGATGCGCGTAAACGGGACGGTCTGGCCAGACCGACGCACGACGCAATAGCGGGGATCGGGAAGAGCGGAAGGGGCTGGCGATCTAGATTAATAACGCTCCCCTTTGAAGGCGTTGCTGCGGGCTGGAAAGATTGCCTTTTTCATACATAAAAAATAAAGGGAACACAGTAGTATTTACATTTGAACGTGAGATTGTTTTAGGATTTTATTTGAAGGACTGTGCGAGTTGGTGCGCCCGATGTTCATTCACTATAAATTACAGTATTGTCAAGTTTGCTTGTTTTCCACCGGGCCTTTTTTCCAAAAGTATAGCAGGCACTGTAACATACACCTTCACTGGGCCTCTTTCAAGCTAACCCTAAATCTAGAATTTCATGCTCTGTTTATTTGAATGATGGTGGGCATGGCTAGTAGCTAAAAGTTGGGCAAGTTGTTGGTCTAGCCAATTTATAGGCATGGCCTAAATATAAGGTCGATATTGGGGAGAAATGAGTTGATTCTTCTTGCTCTAAAGACATATAGAAGATTTCCCCATTTTGGGAGAAGAGGAAAAAAAATATATCCCAGCAGGAAAGTACTGTAATCATTGTTGAAGTATTTTTCAACTGTTACTGCATTTCTCCAGAATGTAATCATTTTATAAATAAGTAATGTATTCTGTGAAGTTGCTTTCTGATCCTTTTAAAATGCTTAAGTGTTAGGAAGCAATTCCTCCTATGGTCATCATATTATGGCAGAAATGAAACATCTAATGTGGTTCCAATATGGTACATTTGGTTGACATTTTAGCAAAGCTCGAATGGCCCTGTGAAGAAATCAATGCGCGAAAAGGCCGTGGAACGCAGAAATATTAACAAAGAGCACAACAGCAACTTCAAGGCTGGATACATACCGATCGATGAAGATCGTCTACACAAAACTGGTTTGCGAGGCAGAAAAGGCAATTTGGCTATTTGTGTGCTGGTCCTGCTTTTCATTTTGGCTGTTGTTAATTTAATTGTAAGTATAAGAGTCTATAAAATGCATCTGGTTAGAACTTAGAGCAGTAGGAGAGGCCCCATCTTTGCTTCCTGATCAAGGGACAAAATGACTCAACCTATCCATTCCATGCACTGAAAACAGCAGAGTGGAGGTTCCTGCAACTGCACGGGAGGCTGCAAACTGACTTAGGAAGTGTAGGGTGGTCTGAATAGTTTTAAAATATTAGAAGGGAGGGCATCCTACAAATCTCTGGGGGAGACTGTTCCAGATGGTTTGACTGCTGACCCCTCCCCAGATCTCTCACACAGGATGTATGAACTAGCAGGGTAGGTTCTGTTTGAAGCAGATGTTCCTGCAAGTACCTGGGTGCCAAGCCATGTGGGTTTTATAGGTCAAAACCAGCAGTTTGAATTGTCCCCAGAAGCTCCTTAGTAGCATATGCAATGCCCACAGATCTGGTGTAATGTATGATGGGGTAGCTGTTACTCACCAAGAGGTGGCCTGCCGCATTTTGCATCAACTGCAAAATACTGAGTGGTCTTCAGAGGCAGCCCCGTGTAGAATGCATTGAAGTAACTATACAGGAGGTAACAAAGATACAGTGGTACCTCTACTTACGAACTTAATCCGTTCC